GGCAACATGCCTGTTTGCAGAAGTGTTTAGGTAATGTCTTTAAGATTATTGAGTCATTCCTTACCAATCATAGTATAAAAGTTTTTCTTGATGGATCTTTTTTTCATATCCTGTATTTTTAGGGGTTCCTCAAGGTTCTATCCTTGGCCTTACACTCTTTTTAATTTTCACAAACAATCTTCTAAAAGTTATCGCATTTTAGATGGGATTGTTTACTGATGATACTATCATTTAATCTAGTCTTGATAAGAGCTAACACTCCCTGATTGCTTGGAGGGGCATTTGAGCTTGAAAAAGATCTCACTTCTACTACTGCATGGGGTTCTTAATGGCTGGTGAACTTTAACTCTGATAAACTCAATTTTATTCAGCAAATTGTTATTTCAATAATCTTGATCTTCCTATATTGGTCCTATATTATATAATTGAACGATAATGTAATTGATGAGTCATTCATCTTCTAGGATTAACATTTACTTCTGATCTTTTTTCTGATCGTATATCATATCAATTGCAAAATTAGCATCTGCTAAGGTTGTATCTCTATCGTACTCGGCACTTTCTATCTCGAGATTCTATTCTTTATCTCTAGAAATCTCAAATCTGTCCTTGTTCGGAATACTTTGCCATATTTGAAGCAGATCTTTCAATGATGCTCTTTCTATGTTAGACAAGGTGCAAAAACGAATTGTTAACATAATTGGATCTGCTCTTTCAGCCAACTTCCAACCATTATCACATTGTCATAATGTTGCTTCTCTTTCTCTTTTTGTATAAATACTATAATGGGCACTGCTCTAAAGAGCTAGCATCTTTTGTGCCACCTACTAAAGTTCATTCTTGTGTTACTCGTCATTTAATTAAGTTTCATTCTTTTACTGCGACTCTTCCTTAGTGCTCAAAAAGTTTTTATGTGTCTAGTTTTTTTCCTCAAACATCAATTCTTTGGAATTCGCTTCCTTTGGCTTGTTTTCCTGGTTTATAATTTCCACTCTTTTATATTGTTTTTCAGTCGTTACCTTGCTCTATTTCATCATCTAATTTCTTCATTGTCTAATTACTTCATCTTTTTTATTCCAATAACTTCCAACCCTAATATTGGTTTCTTGCAGTCTTGTTGAAAGTGAAGATGTTGAAAAAAAAACAAAAACTCAATACTTAATTTATTGTCCAGTTTTTACTTAGCCATTGCTAAGTAAAAACTGGACGATAAAATAATTACTTTTAAATAAAAAAAGAAAAATTAAAACATAGATTCTCCTTTTGAGACTTTTACTTAGTTGTTTAAAACTCTTTATTGGTAAATTATGTGAAGATTATATGGAAAATTATGTTAAGTATAAATTTTGCTCTAGCTGAGTCTATAAAATAATGTTGTTTCATTATTTTTAGAACAATGAACCAATAATACATTTATGTAAAACAATATCTATATAATAATACTGAACTTTATAGTAGTCATGCATGTTTGACACAGTAGTAGTCATGCATGTTTGACGCAGAACTCTTGGCAGCGATTGCAATCAAGGAATAGGCAAGAAAGAGTTGCAATACTTTTTTTATATATGAGTATGTGAACCAAAGTATATGCAAATATCTCACCTATGTAAACATCATTCTATGTAATGTTAAAACATATATCAATTTTACAGTTTTACTTTCTCTTAAAAATTGCATTGCATCTTCTTCATTTTGATCTTTAACATTTGTTTTTGTTTATAAAGTCTTTTTTTGTTAATTAGTTTTAAAATCTTCTTTTAGAAGCCGTGGTTTGAATAATACTGCTAAAAACTTTTTTTTTTGTGATTTTTCTTAATATTACAAAAAAAAACAAAAACACATTTGAAGTTTTACAGATATTATATAACATGTAATATCTGTAAAAATATCTGTTTTATTATTGTGCTCAGGTAATTCGGCCTAATATGCTACAGATGGTCTGAAAAAAAGTTATGGTCTGAAATTTAAAAAAGTAAAAATAAATAATAAACTCGTCCTGCTATTCCAGTAGGTACTGTTGTGAAGGCAAAAGTGGCTTTAGCAACTATGTTTCTTTTGTTGCTAAATGTTACAAAATATTAGAGAAAGTAAAATATTAGAGTGAAATCATTTTTTAAAAAAAAGTTGTTTACTGCTCTAAATTTTTTTAACAAATTCAGTTTTTTGTTATTTAAATTCACAATTTAGTTTTCTGATCACTTCAGCCCAGAGCTGGAAAAAACCTACTTTTTATTATCTCAGAAAGTGTTTTTTTTTGGGTTTTCAAGGATTTTTTGAGTTTTATTTTTAAATGCTAGATATCATTATCAAAATGAAAAAATCAAATATTAATAGCTGCATGACAATCATAATATTAATGACTGCATGACAATCATAATATTAAAGACTGCATGATATCATAATATGGAGATTTCCAGAAAATTCAATGAATATCATAGTGATATTGTTTAAGATATTAAAATTTTATCAAAAAATATCATAATGGTAGTTTTCAAAACTTAAATTGTAAAAGCAAAAAACCCAAAAAATCCAGAAGTTTTATTTCATTGGGTTTTCTAAAAAAACCCAAAAAACCCACTTTGTCCAGCCCTGCTATAGCCTCAAGTGCTCAAATGATTAGTAAACTTTATTGTTAGTTGTTATGAAATACGCAAGTTATAAATATTTTCCGGTCTAATGCTAATTTGTGATTGTGGTATGTTTGGTTCTGAAGTGCTTGTCTATAGCTCAAATAGTGAGTGTGTTTAGTTTTCTACTCACCCCATTTGAAGCTGGAAACTACATAATAAGGCTATACCAGATGACTAAACAGAAAATACAGAGCCTACTTGACCACTACTGTCTGGTTATTCAGATTGCTAAGAGCTTTTTTTTTTACTTTTGTATTTTTTTCAAAGTCACTTTAGTATTGTTTACAGTATACAGTCATCACTAGCTTCAGTAGATTTTTGAAATTATTAAAGTATACAGTCATCACTTGCTTCAGTAGATTTTTGAAATTTTTACAGTATACAGTCATCACTTTCTTCAGTAGATTTTTGAAATTTTTACAGTGGAGAAAATAAAATTAGCCTCACCATGTACTGATCCAATATCTTGTAAATCTGAATGCAAATTTGTGCGGTGCATCTTTGGTATCCACAAACATAAAATTATTGTTACAAACAACAACTTTTTAGATTATAATGTAGCATAATAATATTGCGGTACATTTGATAAAACCATAAAATGTATAATACTTGATACTTGCAGTAACAAATAGAATTAGCCTCATCAATTATTATTTTCAGTTTACTTGTATATTTTGATCGGGTGATACGCATTTGTGACTTTATTACTATTTTTAAGTTAAATAAAGACTGCGAAATCAGCGCTCATTAAGTTTTTAACATTAGGTTTTTGATACCTTAATTTGAAATGGGACGTGGTAAGCGTTTAACAAATGAAGATTTACCAGTTACAGGCTTATCTAATCGGGAAGTTGCAAAGAAAATTAAAAGATCTCTAAAAGTTGTAAATAATTACTTCAAGATTGGCGTTAATTATGGAGCTTATAAGGGATGTGTTGGCAAATGTAAAATTGATAATTGTATTAAATTAGTCATTGTATCGTGCTGCTGCTCAGCACCTGACTGCATCTCAAATTCGTGCTTATTTATAATTACCTGTAAATGTTCAATGTGTAAGACAAATCTTACATGAAGATCCAAACTTCAGTTTGGAAAAATTTAAACCAAAACCAAAACTTACTGTTTGTCATAAAAGTTAATCTAAAGAAGTTAGATTACAATTTGCAAAAGAACACATGTCTTGGCAGGAAGAGTGGCATCAAGTTCTCTTTAGTGATGAAAAAAGTTCAATCTAGATGGTCCTGATGACACTATCAATATTACTGGCACAATCTTCAAAAAGAAAAAAAAACTCGGATGTCATAACTATGATGGTGGAAATTTTATGGTTTGGGGGGCTTTTTCCATTGCTGGAAAACTTCCACTGGCATGGATTTCAACAAAAATAAATTCACAGGACTAAATTGAATTATTAGAAATTAGTTTGTTTGAACATGGCGATTAATGGGTGGGAATTTCACTTTTAAACAAGAAAATGCTGCTATCCATAATTCAAAGCTTACAAAAGCTTGGTTTGGAGATAAAAATATTCGCGTAATGGTAATTTTGTTCATGATAATGGCATGACATACAATGGTAATGGCATGCAGTTCAGATCTTAACCCAATTGAAAATATATGAGGAATACTTTCAAGAAAATTTTATGAAAACGGTAAACAATATAAATCCACATTGGTGCTGAAAACTCGTATCAGAGAAGCTTGGAATGAAATATATAAAGAAACTATCTGAAATCTTGTGATTAGTATGTCGCATATTTGAAGTCATTAAAAATTCAGCAAGCAATACTAAATATTAAATGAGCATAAAAACAAAATATTTTCTGTATTTTCTTGTATATAACGTAAATGAGGCTAATTCTGTTTTCTCCACAAATTGAATACTTTTAATTTTTTTCCATTTGTAAATAATTAAACATACCTATTTATAAACTTTTTAATTGTATTAGTAGATAATAAGAAGTAAAGTAGATTTACTAATTGTTTCACTGCCCTTTTTGTTAAAAGGAACGAAAAATAAAGGTAAGGCTAGTTCCATTTTCTCTACTGTACAGTCATCACTAGCTTGAAATTTTTACAGTATACAGTCATCAGTAGATTTTTTGAAATTTTTGACTAAGCTACCTACTTGAAATCCATTTCATATGTGTGTATGTATGTATGTATGTATGTATGTATGTATGTATGTATGTATGTATGTATGTATGTATGTATGTATGTATGTATGTATGTATGTATGTATGTATGTATGTATGTATGTATGTATGTATGTATGTATGTATGTATGTATGTATGTATGTATGTATGTATGCATGTATGTATGTATGTATGTATTATACAGTATATAAACAAATAATACAATTGTATTTAGATACACAAGAGTGAATGTTGAATTTGATCATGCTTCATCTGTTTCAATGAGTCCAGATTCAAGGTAATTTAATGTTGATTATTGTTCGATGTGTCTCAAAATCAAACTTTAGTTGCTGCTGCACTTGTAGTTGACTCTACGAAAAATTATCTGAATGCTTTATCTAAATTTGATGTATTATCAGTGAAAGTTGCTGAGATTTTTTCTACGTTGATGATTATTAGAAATCATTGCAGCAATTGTGTCATGTGTGACTACCATAAAAAAGATGGCAAGCAATGGATATAGATGCTCATAAAACCAAACTAGAATCATCTATAGAAATTTCAATATACTGCACAGTCAAGTTATAATAACTTTTTTTATTGACTGACCAGATATCAGCAGTCGTGCAAACAAGTGATGCTCTTTTCAGTTTGCTTCTTATTTTTTCATGCATCCTAGAAAGCTTTGAATTTAAATGTTTGTTAATGGTCTTGCAATACATGACAGGGGTGTAAACTCAAACTTTAAGTTGGTTCCCAGAAGGGTGGCTGAAAGTGAGAAGAAGGGTGGTTGAAAGTAACTAATTTGTTAATTTTGGTCACTCGCCGGCGTTTTGAGTTGCTCATTGCTATTTTTTTTTTAAATTTTTGCATTTAGCATATTCTATTCATTTTTCATTTTAGGGCTAAGTGTAGACTAGAAATAATTTGCGTAAATAAAAGTAATATTGTAAACTATTGGCAACATTCCAATATATATGCTATTAGTTTTTTCACTTCAATTAAGTGCTTATTTTATACAAAAAATAGGCACTATTTTGTACAACAACAAAGTATTAAAAAAGCATTTTTCAAAAAAACTTTAAAACCTTTTGCTTTTGGAATTAAAGTTATTTTAAATTAAATTATTTTAAAATTTTTAAATTTTATAATTAAAGTACAGCATTGTAATTTTATTTTAAACTGCGTTAAAAATCATTTAAACATATAAAAGTTATAATTCTATAATTTTATGCTTCATCGACGATAACGAATGCATTTCAAAAAACTTAAAAATATTTTAAGTTTATTGAAATTTTTTTTTGATAATTATAAAAAAATTAGTTAGTTTTTTATAAAACAATAATTTGATGTAAGTATTTTTTTTATTTAAAAGAGTCCGCCTAATATTACAAAAACATTACAAAAGATCAAAGTTTTATAGTTCGTTGCGTTGTTTGTTAAAGGTTATTAACTGTTTAGGAGAATTTAAAAAAATCTTTTTATTTTTTTAAATGTTTAATTAAATTCTATAATTATTATTCTATTTGGTATTTGAAAAAAATTATATTTCCTTATAAATTATTTCTTCACGCAATACCTATACTTAACACAATCTTATGTTTGTTCATAACAATTTACTTTAATTTATATGTATTAAATGTTTTATTTTTAATAAAAATTATAAACAATTTATAGATAGACTTTATCAGTTACCCATAAGATATTTGTAAATGTAATTTATGTTCATAAAATTATTGCATCAAAAGGACTTTACATGATATTGAATTAAAAGAAACATAAAATTTTAATTTGCTTTTGCATATTATAATCTATGATAATCTATGGTGGAGAATTATGTTTTATGTAATGAATTAGCAGATGATAAGAAAAAAATTACTTAAATAACAAAAACATCCTACATCCTACGTTTACATTCTTTTGAAGCTAAATTTTACATTCAACATTTTAATATTTTATATTAACTAAATTTCATAGTTGAGGTTAAATGCTTTTTCTAGACGACGTAATATTTCTAGGCGACCTAATATTTTTTGAATAAACATCACATAAACGATATTAAAAGATAATTTAAATATTCCAAATTTCGCTTAATATAAAACTACTGAATGCATACCTAAAATGTATGCCTAAAGGCTTCATTTTTTTTGATAAATTTAGTTCTATTGTGGTACAAAAAAAGTTGCTATCCAGTTTTGGTCAATAAAATAGATCATTTTTCATCACAAATGTTACATGCCTCTGAGAATAAAAGTCTCATTTTAAACCTGAGAATAATATAGTCTCATTTTGGCAGGAATTCTAGTCAGAATTATATTAACAATTCCGGCAAATCCTGTTCCGGCGGGAATTCAAAATTTCCATTCGGTACACCCTTAAATTACGTACACATAATAACCATAATGCTGATATTTTATTACTTTTTTTTTTATCTGGCCACAATTTTGAAAAAGGTACCATTTACAATTGCTTTCAAAATTTTATTATTTTCTTCAGTTATTTAAATATATAATTTAATAATTACCCTAATGAAACCAAGTTGTATAAACCAAGGTAGAAACAAGGTAGAACAAAACAAGAAATAATTTACAATAAATAGTGGATGAGTGATACTATGACATGACAATCAGTTGTTTGTGTACGATGTTGTAAATGTTTTAAGCAGTATTTGATTTATAGGTATTTTCAAATAGTAAGAAATACAAAATACTAATCAAAAGTATTTTATGCACAAATACTAAATACTTTCAACAAAAGTATTTAAAATACAAATACTAATACAAAGAAAGTATTTAAGATACCTAGTATTTCAAATATTCCCAGCACTGCGTACATCTAAAGTGGTTCTTTTTGCTGATGACTCTTTATACTCCTGTCTTGACAAAAGTTCTTCTCTTTTCGATTGCTTAGAACAGGCAGCTGATCTTGAATCTGAGCTAGCAGTGGCTTGTGAATTTTAACAAAACACATTTATTTACTCCAAAGCACTTACTCCATTACAATACTTTCTACATCCCTTTATTAATGTAGTAGCTCTCCTCTCAACAAGTCCTATTCTTTACATCTTGTTTGATTATCTTTTACTACTGACTTCTCATGGAAACCATATATACAATCAAGTTAGCATCTGCTAAGGTTGATTCTCTTTATCGTGTTTGCCATTATCTTACTCCTGATTCCATTCTCTACCTCTATAAATCTCTTATTCGCCCCTGTATGGAATACTGTTGTCATTTGGGCTAGTTCTTCTAATGATGCTCTTTCCCTTCTAGACAAGGTCCACAAGCGCATTGTAAACATAGTAAGACCTGCTCTGTCTGCCAAGCTTAAGCCTCTCTCCGTCATTTTAAAGTTGCATCTCTTTCTCTTTTCTACAAATACAATTATGTTTGCTGATCAAAGGAGCTGTTAACTCTACTAGTTCCATCAACCAAAACCAAAAATTCTTGCTTGACTTGTCTTTCAGCAAAGTTTCTTCCTTTTACTGTATCTGTTCCTGTATGCTCTAAAAACTTTTATGCGTCTAGTTTTTTTCCCTGCACTTCAACTCTTTCTCCCATCCTCATGTTTCATCTTCATGTTGACTCTTACAACCTACAACTTTTTAAGTTTTCTGTCAACCATTTTCTTGCTCTTTAACTCTATTTTTTCTAGTAACTCCCAACTTAATAGTGGTTGCCTGCAGCCTTGTTGAGAGTGTTTGAGAGAAGTAAAAAAAATTAAAATAAAAAAATCTTACTGAATATATAAGTTTTAAAAATTAAACTAAAGTAATTCCAATCAAAAGAAAAGCTTATAAACAAAAGGTTTTTGTAATGACAGTGGCCACAGCTCTTCTAAAATCCCCTGAAGTCCTCTTTTTCCAAAAATCTTGTCTAAAAACCTCTGTATTAAAAGATGTGATCAAATCTACTCTTTAACTCTTCTTTTTTTCAGGTTCAGAAACTTTTTAAGATATAAAACAATATTGCTACCTTTTAAGATAAAAAGCAATATTGCTACTTTTTAAGATAAAAAACAATATTGCTACTTTTTAAGATAGTATAAAACAATATTGCTACTTTTTGGATTAGCAGATTTTTATATTAATAACAGTAGTTATATTTTTGACAATCTTGACTTATTATCTAACAATATTAGAGTTTAGTAAGCTTTCAGTGTATGAGTTTTTAACATTATTTTCATAGATATATACATTTTTTTTCTCGTTTTTTTCTACCATAAATTTTATTGAGAATAATGAGTATAAAAGTAAATTTCATTCATTGGAGAAGAATTGGTTGCAATGATAGGAAAAAGGAAAAAATGCATTTTGTAAAGTTTGTTCAAAGTCCTTTAGCATTGCAACCAATGGAATAGAGAATATATAGCAGCATGCTAAAAGGAAGAAACATGTGATAAGATATCCATCTGATAGCATTTAAAAGACATTAAACCCGAAGGTAATTTGGTCACCAGAAGTTTTAAAATTTAAATGTTATTACCATACATTAGAGTCAAAAAGTAAGCTGTTCTGTTTCATTTTCTAGACAGTTAAATAGCTCAAAATTTCACTTGTAGGAAAACAAAATGCATTTTAAGTTACATTTTGTCACTGTTGCTTTTTTTTGTTACACTTTGTCACTGTGTTGCTCTTTTTGTTAAAGAAACAATGCTAAACAAATAGAATAAAGTCCCTTATTACACAACATTTGATGAATCTTATAACAAAATTTCAAAAAAAAAAGTCAAATCGATCTACATGTTTACTTTTGAGATGACGTAAAAGGGAATGATGTAAAAACATCTTATTGGATTTCTGGGTTCTTTGGAAAAACAACAGCTGGTGACATTTTTTCTAAATACAACAATTGTTTATGTTTTTGGGATCAATGCAAAGTCCTCCAAGTTTCTTCTAATGGTTCTAATGTAAATTTTGCATTTTTAAATTTAGTGAATAAAAGGCAGATAATAATATTTATTTGATGCTTTAATTAATTAATTTTAGAACAAGTCTTCATACCTTTCATGGTTTTAAATTGGGGTAAAGGCTACTGACTGGAACATTAAGAAACTACTTTTTTCTATATATAAAATATTTGATGTCTCACAAAATAATATAAAGTACTTGATGGCATTCCCAGTCTCTGCAAAGTTGAATGTGAACGTCTAAAACTTTTTCAGACTACCCTCTTAAATTCTGATGGGTTGAAAATAGTAATATTGCCAAACGTGCCCAAATGATTTGACCCAAGATAATTAAAGTTGTAAAATTTTTGAAAGGCTTATCAAAATTGAAGCTACCTGGAAATGGAAAGC